ATTCTCAGCGGTAGGAGAGGAGAGAAACTGGGGATTTGAAATCCCCACCACTTTCTCTCCTCTCCTTGCAGGGATGACAGTTCAGGCTAGAGGGCTTTTGATTCGTCAGCACCATCACATGGACTGTGCTGACTAATCAGATGTCGTCTAGCCCGTACTGTCATTGCTGCAAGGAGAGGAGAGAAAGCGGTGGGGATTTCAAATCCCCAAACCTGTGAAGCAGCTCTCTCTCCTCTCCTTGCACGGATGACCGTGTGAGCTAGACAGCATCTGATTGGTCAGCACAGGTCCATGTGACTGTGCTGACCAGTCAAAAGCTCTCTAGCCTGAACTGTCATCCCTGCAAGGAGAGGAGAGCAAGAAAGTGGCGGGGATTTCAAATCCCCGCCACTTTCGCTCCTCTCCTACAGCTGAAAATATGGAGCATCTGCCACAATGGTATACATCCCCACATGCCCACTCTACGCTGCAGGAAATCTCTCTGCACTTCTGTGTGAACTCGGCTATGACAGCCTGGTTTCACACAGGCGTATTTGGGAAACCGCATGTGATTTGGACAGGAATTGCATTCCCATTCAAAGAACATGCAATTCTTTACGGTGCAAAAAGTACTGACACAAAAGTATCTGTACTCGGTGAGTACTTGACTGAAAGTATCGGTACTTGTGCTCGCCGATTTAAAAAAAAAAAAAAAGGTATCGGTGCATCCCTAATATAAACTCAGTATTCTAGTGTGCACGTGCCACATAGAAAACTATTGTTTCCTATGTGCCATTGCAGTTAGCTGGGTTCATCCAGTATGGAAAAATGTAGGTAACTGCACATAATGTGATTGGACCCTTAAGGTCTGGGCAAAGCATATGCTCCTTTCCAGAGAATCGGACCCAGGGGATCCTGCAATCTTGCAGTTTCTGTAAGATTTTCCAAGAACCTTGAGTTGGATGTCTTGAAATATTCCAAACAGCAGCTTTCATGTCTGTCCACATGAGAAAAATCCTATTGCCTAAGTGTTGGTCTGCGGAACATCTCAGCAAGAAGCAAACCGAGAGGTTATGCTCTTGAGGGTGAATTCTTTTACTTGGGTGCCTGCATCCAGAAGAGGACAGTGCGAAAGAGTATTCCTCTGTCCTTTAAACAAGAACAGAAAGGTTACAGGTCAGAAACTGGTGCCACCTTTCGCAGCTCAAGGGTTTCCAGTGGTGTAGCTGTTTGGTGATGCGATGGAACCCGTAGGTGCTTCAGATGCAGGAGGAGTTTCTTCAGAGGACACGTGGATCCCGGAGGATGAGTAGAGTAGTCAGTAGCTAGAGCCAGAGCCAGGGTCAATACGGAACAGCAGACAGGCACAAGGTCAGGATCATTCACAGAGCAGCAGACAGGAGCAAGGTCAGGATCAAGCCAAGGTCAAATGCAGAGCAGCAGACAGGAGCAAGGTCAGGATCAAGCCAGGGTAGACCGCCAAAAAGAGAGCCAAAGCAAGGTCAGGGTCATTCTGGGTCGGTAACATGTAATCAGCAGTATAAACGGGAACGCAGGGCTGACAATAATACAGCAATTATTGAGCAGAGCTGCAGTCCTTATAAAGGCCACTGAGTGTCAGCAATTATCGTGCCCTGCACATGCCTGTGCGCTTTCGCGCACAGGAGTGCGCGATTACGCGCTGTTCTCCTATGTGCAATTTTGCGCGAATTTGCTCGTCCATATTGAGCATTGGCGCATTTGCCCGGGCTTACTTGGCTTTTCTCCTGACACCTACCTTATGTGGAATTGAAAGGTCTTGACAAGGGATGCCAGCCTGTTGAGTTGGAGAGGTGTTCTTGCTTCAAGGAATGTGTTTGTTAGAGGAGCGGAAGCTGCCAGTCAACATCTTGAAACTTCAGGTGATTTTACTGGCTATCCTTTATTGGTCTGTCTATCTTCAGAGTCTCCCTATCAGGGTGCAGTCAACAATGCCAGGGCTGTGGCATACATCAACTCTCAAGGAGGGCAGGTTTTCATGCCACTCAGGAAGAAGCAGACCTGATTCTGTCTTGGGCAGAATTTCACATTCTGATCCTGTCTGCTATGCACATTCTTGGGGTGGAGAATTGGCAGGTGGACTTTGTCAACTGCCAACAGCTGAATCTGGGAGAATGTGCCCTATCTGTTCACAAAGATTGTCTGTGGTGGGAACACCAGATGTTGATCTCCTGGTGTCCACATGTAATGACAAACTGGACAAGTTTGTGTCCTGAACCAAGGATTCTTAGGTGTTTGCGGCAGATGCCCTGGTGAATCCCATTATCTATGATTGCCCTCTGTTGCAGCGTCTTCTTCACCTGCTGTGCAGGGTAAAGGGCATTCTCGTGTATCTGATCGCATCTGCTTGGCCAAAAAAATCATGGTGTGGAGATATCGTTAATATCTTGGTAGATGAGCTGTGGGCTCTTCGGATTTGCCAGATTTTCTGTCGCAAGGTCTGATCTTTCATTTTGCTTTACAGCTGCTGGCTTTGACAACCTGGCTGTTGAAGCCCAAGAGTGTGTGCAGTTGTCTCTGTCTTTAAAGTGGTTGTAAAGGCTCAAGGCTTTTTTACCTTCATGCATTCTATGAAGGTAAAAAACCTTCTGTGTGCAGCAGTTCCTCCAGCCCCCTTAATACTTTTCTGAGCCTCATCGAGATCCAGCGATGTGAACAACCGTCTCGACTGGCCTGGGTCTCTGCCTCCTCGTTGCCTGATACAGCAAGCGGAAGCCAATTACAGACAGTCAGCCAATAAGGAGAGGGGGCAGAGCCAAGCCACGGTTCCATGTGTGAATTGACACACAGGGCAGTGTGTGCCCCCATATAACGTTGCTTGCTGTGGGGGCATCCGATGGGAGGGAGGGGCCAGGAGAGCCTGCGGGAGACCTGAGAAGAGGATCCAGGCTGCTCTGGGCAAAACCACTGCACACAGCACATAAGTTTAGCATGTTTGTTGTTTTCCAAAAAAAAAAATAACCTTTAGAATCGCTTTATAGTACCATCAAGCGACACATTTTAACCTTGGCCATTCTGTTTCAAATACCTACTGTGTCTCATTCCTAGGTAAATGTTTTTATGAAGGGTTTCACATGGATTATTCCACTTGTGCTATCTTTGTGGGACCTTAACTTGGTCTTGTCTGTTTTGCAGACTTTTCCTTTGAACTTCTCAGAGTGATCTTCTTGTCACTCCTTGAGGATTCCTAGGTTGTAAGCTCTAACGAGCAGGGCCCTCTGCTTCCTCTTGTACCAAATTTGTTTTTTATTTGTAATGTCTACCTTCATTTTGTAAAGCGCTGCACAAACTGTTGGCTCTATATAAATCCTGTATAATAATAATAAGGTTGTCTTTTAGTTGCCATAACCTCAGCTCACAGGGTCTTGGAGATGGCTGTGCTTTTCTTGTTCTTCACCAGGGTAAGGAGGTTTTAAAGTGAAACTCCACTGCATCAGAGCAGCACAAACCAAAAACCCTGTTTAATTTATTTTGAATATTCAAAGCAATCTCTCCCATCCATCGATATCTCCATGCTTTATTTTGCTGATAAATGACTTTGAATGCAAAAGAAGCAGAACTGACCATGCAGGGATGGATGTGCTTCCATACTCTTGCATGTTTGAAATAGTAAAGCAGGGGAACTGGCAGGATCACCAGGGATTGCACACAAAGGAAGAAATGCAGAGAACAGGATACTTTTTTATACAATTGCTTGGTACAACAGACACATATCAGGACTTAGAAATGTTGGCATAACATACACTTTAAGCTAGGCACCCAGAAAGTTTTCTGTGCTTGTCTTGGATCATTGTAACTAATCATGCTTTGTCTGTGGCAACCTCCACCAATATATGGTGAGTAGTGATCTAGTACAGCCCTTTTATATTTCATTTTTTTTTTTTAATACTTTTTTTCATTTAATAATGTATGGCATCGCTCAACAGGGCTAATGGGGGAATAAGGAACTTGTAATTTTTTTTTGGGGGGGGGTGTATATGGTCATTTAGGATGTACACATTGCTTTTTGGTAATAGTCTTCAGTAGTACAAAAATATTTACTGTACTTTTTTTTTTTTTTTTTTTTTTTTGTACTATAGAGCCCAGAAGGACAAGCAAATGGAAAACCTTTACTAAAAAGACCGTTTCTTAGACGAGGCGAAGGTCTGGCCAGATTTAAAACAGGAAATAGGAAACTTTTGAAACCTCAAGAGATCAAAACAAATTCTCAAAAACTGTTGGAGACTGCAGTTCCTCCCAAAACTGAGAAAGCTCAACTCCATAGGAAAATTGCTCAGTTAACTAAAGAGCAAGGAGTAGAAAATAATGTTGGATCAACTAAAACAACAAATCAAGCCATCAAAGAAAAAAGTGAATTTGTTTTTAAAAAACTGTTTAAAAACAATAGCGCAAAAAACAGAACAGCTTTGTCACATGGCCAGCATGATAACAAATCTACCTCAAGTGGTAGAAGTTCTGTGACTCTGGAAAGGCATGCTAGTTCGGAAACAGATAAAGAAAATGTTGACAAATCTAAATCATCCGAACCACTAAGGAAACAAGTTTCTCAGGTTAAAGAGACAGGAAATCAAAATAATTTTACACATATCAGTGACTTACATAAGGAGAGCTCTAATCCAGCAGAATTGTCATTTGAAATCTCCTTCCAAAAGAGGAAAACCCAGTGGGATAGGGAGAAACAGAAGGAAAACTGTGAATTAAGTGAGTTCCTCCTTCTAGAACAGGCTGCCGAGGACATATCGTTCTCCAGCAACTCCTCATTTGTACAGAAGCTACTTGATCAAGACTATCTACTTGGTAATGCACAGCGAAGGTTGTCTTCCACTCCTGTTAAATCTGCAGAGAAGCATCAGGAAAAAGGGGTCAGCAATACTAGGGGTGCAAATGGTGGCCGATTGAACAAGAAATATGAAGAGTCTGGATGTCTTTTAAAACCTACCTGTAGTACCTATACTGCTGGTTTTAGTGAACAGGCTTGGAAGATGTCAAATGAAATAACCAGGGGTCCTGAAGTTGAAATTAAAATCTCTGCTAAGGATTCCGAGCTTGCTACAAGTGAGGGGGACTATGCATCTTCAGCGGATGAACACAACAACTCTGGTTTAAGTGAAAATGAAGACCTAGAAAGTGAGGATAGTAGCAGAGAATATGACCCAAAAACTGATGAACCAAAAAGCCCTTCAAAAAAACTTAACAAGGAAACTAAAGGTAGAGATCTTGACCTGGACCTGTCAGATGGAGGGGATCTAGAAAATGAGGACAAAACGTTGCTGGGAAATAGCAAAGTATCTCTAAAAGATGACAGCTCATCTACTTCTAGTGAAAATGAAGTTGGGTTTGATGATGAAAGGACGTGGGATGACCTTGGCAACGTACCAAGCCTTAAAGGGGTTTATGAAAGCAAGTTTGCCAACAAGGAGTTTATTCCATCGGAATATACCAGCAAAAGCCCTACAGACATTCCAAACAAAGCCATCACTAGAAAAATGGCATCAAAAAAGGGAGAGTCAATGAAGACTGGAACTGCTGCTACCCCTGACCCTCCAGCATCAGAACTGATGTTGAAACTGTTCCCAGCATTAAAGCCAAAAGCAAAGCCAGAATCTCGGGCTGTGCCTAAATATATACCCGTTCAAGAAGGCCCAGGTAAGGTCATTTTTGAAGAAATAGAACAATGTTATTGGAGTGAACCTGTTATGGAGCAGTGTGCTGCAAGGGAGGAAAAGCATTGGGTAGGTATATACAACCAGTTTTGCATGTTTTTTATAAAGTTTTTATCATTATATTAGTTCAGGCAATTGAGCAGGGGATAGATGTTGGTTTAAAACAATTCTGATAAGCTGAAGGGCAGAGCAAGTAAAAGGAGAGAACAGGTAGAAGAGGCTAAAACTGGGTACATACACATAAATTATTTTTGCTCAGACTTTTGTTTTGTTCTCTGTGGGTGGAGGAATCTACTACTGTGACTATTGACTATTTGACAGCTGCAGCTGATTCCTGTCAAAATACCTGACTGATTGGATGCAGTCACTGTTCAGCCAACAAATTTTCTGCACGGCTCCTTCAATTGGGCAGGAGATGTCTGACAGAGCCAGCCATATAGTGAAATTCGTCCTATAACTCAGGAACCAGATACGATTCATATAGTGCATATACAGCTTTATGCAGAGGCCAAGTGAAGAGTCAAATCACTTTCTTGCTTTACAATCTATCTTAGCATTGAGCTTACTTTGTATTACTTCTGTCTTAACACAGGACTAAAAATACACTTAAACATATTGAATTAGTCAAAGACATACTTATCCCCCCTCCCCTTTTTCATAGATTTAAGCAGAAACATAAAAAAGGTCTAAGTAATTTGAGATTTCAATACCGACTACCCTAAAGTGGTTCCAAAGGCTAGACATTTTTTACCTTAATCCATTCCCTACATTAAGGTAAAAAAAATCACCTGATCGCTGAGTTCTCACAGCCACTCTGAACAGAGAGCAGGGACCGTCATTCACTGCTTTCTGCTTTGCCCCCGCAACACTCACTGGAGCACTGGGCTGTGGAGGGAGCATCTGGCTCAGGCTCTCAGTGGCTCGCTGAGAGGCTGGGCCAGGTGCTGCTTCAGACCTTGGGGTGGATCCCGACTTTGAAGTCATGATCTTTGCACAGGTATGGACATGAGAGGGGGACTGTTAGGAATCAGAACAGGACACATTACTATGTTGCTTTCCTGTGCACTCTGCTTGTTGGAAGAGGGGCACACCAGACAAAGGGTGGGTACGACGGGGACATAATCTTGCCATCACTTGCCTGTGATTGATGGATAAATCAGAATCAACAGGTTATCGATCTTTCTTTGCATGACTATCATAGGAAGGTGTGCCCTTCTACAGATTACTTAACCAATTCCTGTCCCTTTGCAATGTATAAATGGCGGTGGGTTGAATCGGTTATACAAGGATCATGACTGCAGATACAGTCATGACCCCAGCAATGTTTTTTTCATCCTGTGATTCTGTACACTGTGTTAAGGTAATCCAGCAGCTGTATAGCCACTAGGATTACTTTTAGAGGCGGCAAAAGAGTGTTCCCCCCCTCCGCTGCCGCCCTTACCAAGATTCCCCATCCCATCGATCAGCTGCTTTGAGGACTAGAGGAGAGGTCATGGAGTCTAGTAGACCCCAAATCTCACCAGGGGGACCATGTTCATCCCTTGTGATCGCAATAATGTTGATCCAAAAACTTTTGGTGTATTACTTTATGAAAATTGTATGTATGTGCCACGCTTCAGTAAAACTTATTCTAAAACAAAAATGTAAAGGTACAGTGTTTAAATAAATAAAAAAAAAAGAACCCCAAAACTAAAATTAACAAAAAATCTCTTTACAGCACTCCCTTCCCCCTGTGCACATGCATAAAGGCAAATGTGTGCTTCGGTCCTGCGTGCACATGTAAGTGGCGATTGCACCACACATATGAGGTATCGCCATGAATGTCAGAGTGAAAGCAATAATTCTGGCTCCAAAACTCCTGTGTAACTGTAAACTGGTAACCTGTAAAGGCTTTTAAAATGTTGTCTGTGGATATTTTTTAAGTACTGTGCAAAGTGTATCAATCTGCGCTGTCATCCAAATGAAAACCAAAAACTAAATCAATATCTGTATAAAAAAGGATGCAAAAGCTGAACACCTATAGGCCTTTCACATAACCTAATACGTTATCCAAGTACAAATTAGTGCAGTGCAACCTAATGTGCAAAATTAAGTTATAAATAAAATAATCATAATCAAAACACGTGCAATGTTTTTAAAATAAAGGTCCATCAAATCCATGTGATATGAACAATTCCCAATCACCGATTTCGTGATTCTTTACAGTCCATGTATTCACCAACATGTGAAAAACCACCTCCACCAGAAGAATTGGCCACTCAACTTTAGGAATTGACTCCTGAACCAACAGGCAGTCAAATGCGCTTTCCCTTTAAGGGCATATAGAGACTCCAGGTCTAATTCTTCTGCGTTCCCGTACATTCCCAGCAATATCAATCCATCATAGAATAGAAAAAAGAGCTCATAATGTTCTCCATATAAAATATTTAATAAGAGAAGTGGTAGTACACTTACAATAAAAAGCACTCCACTGTGCAGGTTTACATGCCAAGAAATCCACATTACCACAATCCAACAAGATGACGACACAAGCATGGCTTCACCTTCTTGGGAGAAGTGGGGGACCTCCATTTAAGAAGTATTTCCCTTCTGGCGTAGCAAGCTGCAAACATTAACTTGTTCTCATACTTGGTAGGCTTTACTATATCCACAAGCCCTAGTAAAAAAAAAAAATAAGAGGATCACTTGGAAGAGCGAGACTACAAAATCCCACTGATAGAAGCTATAACACTGCTCTAGAAAGCTGAAGTCTAGGTCCAAAGGACATGAAAGTATGAGCCGACATCAGCTCCACACAGTCCAGAGCTCTGTCAGGGTATATCATGGCCAACCTTTGCAGTGTATAATACACTTGGTAAATCAATTTCAATCGGAGAGACTGATCCCTAGCAGATATCATGGTAGGTACAAATTTCAACAGGCAATCCTCCCAGTCATCCTTAGATGAAGAAGGGATATCAAGTTGCCATTTATGGAAGAGGAAAGATATCCTGGGTAAAGTAAGGTGGGGGGGGGGGGCAATTGCGAGTTTTGGGAGGAAAGTGGCTTAGACAGATACGCATCCAGCAATAACCTCTCCAAATGATCTAATTGCAAAGTCAAAGGGCCTAGGAATTGAGCAGCTAGTGCATGTTGTAGCTGTAAAAAGCATATAAGAACATGCCATTTTGTAAATTAAATACTCTTAAGTACATTAAAGGAGTAAGGGGAGCCCTGTGTGATGACATAGCAGAGCACTCTAATACCATGTTTACCCCAAAGGGAAGGATCCAGTACAGTGTTAAGTGAGTAGGGTTACCCAGTACTGTTTGTATTTATGCTTATCCTCTCTAAGGCCCCTTTCAGATGGGGTGGACCTGTCAGTGAATCCACGTGCTCAGTAGAGGATCTCTCCGCTTATCCCCGGCGAGCAGGCAGATGACAGGTATTTGTCCACGCCGCTGCTGCAGAGTGGGCACAGACACAGCTCGCTGTTTTCTATGGGGTGGTCAGATGGAAACTGACTGCCTGTCCGTTTCCACAAGATTGTCATTCCAATCTGCTCCTCCGGACGATAGGATCCCCATCCATCTGATTTTAGCATACAGGATCAGAACGGATACCGGCGGGTGTCAGTGGACACATGTCCGCTGACACCTGCTGCTCCATAGAGAGCTATGGATGGTCCAATTGGGTCCACCTAAAAAACTGACAGGCGGACCCAATAAGACCGTCAGTGTGAAAGGGGCCTTATTCCCTCTTTAGCTCTCTCTGAGGATTTTTGTGGGACAACAAGTCACTTATTTTTTTTTTCTGCCCAAAGGTGGGCTTTAAATTGTCTCCCTTGCAGTGGGGCTGTGCCTACACTTCAAGGTTTAATAGCTTGTTTTGTCTAGGATATAGAGGAGAAACCATTTTACTTACCTGATCTTCCGCTCCTCTTGCAGGCAGTGCTTCCCTGTGATCTGGAGGTGCACTGTCCTTTGGCTTGGGTGGATGTCAGGACTCCAGACTGCTAGAGCGCAGGGATGCAGAAGCTGCGTGGGAACAGTATAGCTGTGGGGGGATCCAGGAAGTATATCTCCTTTTATTGTTCCCTAGACATAATTGAGAAATTAACCCTTTTAGTGTGGGCACAGCTTCAAGGCAAGGAATAAATTTTTTATGTGCCTGGATTTAGGCTTTAAACACAGCATCTTGTTCTGAGTCTGTACTTTTCCAGCCACTGCTCTTGATTTGGAAACACCCGGATGGATTTAGTTCGTGGTTAGTACGGTCTCCGCTTAGAAACATATATAGGGCTAAACAAATGATACATATTATTCTAAATCTGCAGCTTGTGCAAACGCATCCCAGTTTTGATTTCAAATCCGTCCTGCAAGAGTGAGGTGGCATCCTCACCACAGAGTTGGACAGTTTTAATAACTGGTCTTGTTTTGTCGATTGCTCGTAAGCTGAAATCCTCATCAATGAGATTTTCAATCTGATAGACCAAGATGCGGTATGCTCCAGGTGTATTTGTGTACACTTGGTCCAAGATGTTTTCCCTCACTGTGGAAATTCACATTTCTTAAGAATTAAGGAAATGCTGTATTCAGCACTGTGTGATTTAAAGTCTCCAGTCAAATCAGAACCCCTTCTGTATACACAATCAGCTGAATGTTAACATCATGTCATTTCTCCAGAACTGTCTTAGCAGCTGCATTTGGGGGATATGTACACAGCAGTGATTATGACTAGTAAAACTCCCTTTGTATTATAAACAGTCACTTTTGGGTATTCCAAGACCTGAAAGAAATGCGTTGCAACAATATCAGCAGCTGTGCACCAGTCATTAATTACATGTATAGACTCCTCCACCTTTTGTACTTGGAGTCTGCAGCCCTGTCTGTTCAGTAGGCAGAGCAGTTTGCTAACTTGATGGCTACAGTTGTGCTCAAAAGTTTGCATACCTTGGCAGAAATCATGACATTTTGGCATTGATATTGAAAATGACTAATCATGCCAAAAAACTATTTTATTAAACGATAGTGATCATATGAAGCCATTTATTATCACATAGTTGTTTGGCTCCTTTTTAAATCCTAATGATAACAGAAATCACCCAAATGGCCCTGATCAAAAGTTTACATACCCTGGAATGTTTGGTCTTGTTAAAAGACACACAAGGTGACACACTCAGGTTAAAATGGCAATTACAGGTTAATTCTAAATTGCAGTTAGTGTCTGTGTATAAATAGTTGATGTTTTTGTTAGCTCTCACATGGATGCACTGAGCAGGCTAGATACTGAGCCATGGAGAGGAGAAAAGAACCTGTCAAAAGACCTGTGTAACAAAGTAATGGAATTTTATAAAGATGGAAAAGGATATTAAAATATATCCAAAGCCTTGAATATGCTACTCAGTACTGTTCACTTATTAAGAAGTGGGAAAGTCAGGGATCTCTTGATAGCAAGCCAAGGTCAGGTAGACCAAAAAAGATGCAGCCACAACTGACAGAAGAATTGTTCGGGATACAAAGAAAACACCACAGGTAACCTCAGGAGAAATACAGGCATGGCCAAATATATTGGCACCCCTGCAATTCTGTCAGATTATACACCACTTTGCCCAGAAAATTGTTGCAATTACAAATGTTTCACAATTTTTCTGTTCATTTCTTTTGTTTGTATTGGTTTGACACAAAAAAGTGGAAAAAACAAAAAGCCATATCTGGCACATTCCACGCAAAAATCCAATAATGGACTGGACAAAATTGACACCCTCAATTTTAATATTTGGTAGCACACCCCTTTGTAAAAAATAACTGAAATTAATCACTTCCTGTAACCATCAATGAGTTTCTCACACCTCTCTAGTGGAATTTTGAACCACTCTTTTTTTACTAACTGCTCCAGGTCTCTCAGATTGGAAGGGTCCCTTTTCCCAACTGCTGTTTTGATATCTCGCCACAGGTGCTGTTTGGGATTGACCTGGACTCGCTGCTGGCCAGTTCAGTACTCTTCAGCATGTGCTTTTGATCATTGTCCTGCTGTAAGACCCATGATCTCTCATGGGGAATCTTGTGAAAATTGATGACAAGATGAAAGTTAGAAAATACTGGAAGACAATTTGCATTCTTCTGCATGAAAGCTGCACATGGGACGCTCATGGCCTTTCCAGCATGACAGTGATCCCGAGCACAAGGCCAAGTTGACCCTCCAGTGGTTACAGCAGAAAAAGGTGAAGGTTCTGGAGTGGCCCCCCCACCCATAAACATCTACCTGCCCCCTCTCACCATTCAGCAATGTCCTTGTCTGTAGCGCTGCACCATTGACTTGCTGGTTTCACAGGAGACGCAGGCAGCAGCTGGAGCAATAGACACCTGCTGCTGTCAGTTAGATCCTGTGAGGAGGGGGCAGGGATGCACACACCTGGCTCAGGAGTTTGCCCGCATTATTGCACTCTCGTAAATGGCTTGCCTAGGAAGCACACTCCTTAATGAGGAGCAGAGAGCGCTGGCCAGGGACTTCCAAAACAGAGGTAAGGGACCATTCTGTGCAATATCGTTGCACAAAGCAGGTCAGCATACTATCTTTTTTTTTTTTTTATTGTAAAGAAAAAATGTTTGCCTTTAGTATCACTTTACATTCGTGAGAAGGAGAGTTGGCATAGCTGGTCTTTGCATATAAGCGTTTAGCTTTGCTCATTGGCTGACTCTCAATCTTCACTTTTGCTTTCTATACCCATGTGGATTTCATTGCTTCCCTGGTGATTTGGTTAGAATTCCAGTGGGCACCACTGAGTGTAGGATCTCTGGTGAAATATGGTTATGGCGTCTTGGAGATTGACTATTTTTTTGTATATATCTGATACTCAGCAATTCCTTGTGTCCGTAATGTGTGTTTTTTAACTCCCAACTTTCGAGTGCACCAAGACACTAGTGTCTACACTTGGAGAAGGTGGTGTTAGATGCACTAACCGAATTAGATGGACCTAACACATTTAAAGCTATGCTCCTCCCAAATTAAAATCATGTTTTTTTAAACAATCTACAGCCACAGACTTTTTTTCTATTTGGTATAAAGATTTTACAGAATTGAATGAAAACTGACCATTGCAAGCATCCTTGTCGGCATTTAATGATTTATCTCAACCCTCTAACTACCTATTTTGCCAGACAGCTTGGTTTGTTAAAGAAAGAAAGTTGAAAATGTCAGATTTACTGGCTGGAAAATTCCATTTCTAATAATCAGCTCTGTGTCGTAGGAGATTCTGCTCGATCACAGCTCTTGAAAGAAAAACTGGTTGAATTGGAAACCGAGATTGAACGATTTAAGATGGAGAATGCTTCGCTGGCAAGACTACGTGAGGACAAGGAAAAAACTTTGGAAACTCTCAAGTATGTGTTTCTTTTTCTTTTATAGTCAATTTTATTTAGATTCTGCTAGCTTTTTATCATCTATAGCGGCTTTTCTTCAATATTTTACTTTTTGAAACCCAGCAGCAAGAGCTAGATATTTGGTGTGTTGCTTGTGGGGCAAGTATAAAGCCTAATTTCTCATTCATTGAAGGATACAGTTCTTTAGTCTTGATCATACAGTTAGCGACACCTTCAGGAGTAGGACATTAGGTAGAAAAAAAGAACACAGCTCGACCTAGTGTGGTTCCATATTGTTTTGGGTTTTTTTTTGGTGGAGCAGCGGGTTCTGAGGATCTTCAATCAACAGCAGGCCTGGATGACAAATTGTATAATCTATATCTAGTAGTCATCCCTGCCTGGCCAGCATGTGCATGCAGACGCCTAGCTAGGGGACCGTGGCAGCCGGCTAGTTCTGAGGATCTTCAATCAACAGCAGGCCTGGACGACAAATTGTATAATCTATATCTAGTAGTCATCCCTGCCTGGCCAGCATGTGCATGCAGACCCCTCATAGCTAGGGGACCGTGGCAGCCGGCTAGCAAAACCTCTCACAGGGACACGTATGACCGGGCACCTGAAGTCCATGTCAGTGTTTCCATAGCCTACAGCCGCCCCACCTTGGTAGCTGGTGTGACAGACCCAACCAGGACAGGGTCTCTTGGAAGAGACTGCAGGCTAGCCTATTGCCTACTGACTATGGTCCCTGACGTTTGAGAGGGCTCTATTCTTTGTGTGCCTGGGGGACCTTTTGGAGTAGTTTTACTTTGGATTCAAGTCCATGTCTCCCCAAACCACACAGACTCCAAGAACTGGAGAACCAGGATACAAATTTAGGGTCACCCAAACCAGCATTGACTGCTTCAACCTCGTTCCTAGACTCAGAGCAGATGTTAATATAATCAGCTCAAAACCTGATGCTGGGGTCTCTTGCTTTAATCCGTTTAGTAAGGTATGATGTGTTTACTATTTTGTATTTGTTCCATTGTTAATTGAGATACTTGAGTCACCTATTGTTTCTGTCTGATGGCTAGTCCTCCTTAAGCTTCTGATATGATGGGATTAGTCTTGTGTCAACTTGACCTAGTTACCTAATCAGTGTGGGATGTTTATCCCAATGTGTATTTTTGTTTTTATTCATGTGGGGACTGACCCTATTTTTGAAGTGTAGAAAAACCTGTATTTCTGTTCAATAAACAGTTCCAGTTTTGCACCTAAGCTAGTGTCACCTAGTCTTGGGTGTACTGCCCAGCTAGGATACTTGGTTCTGTGTCCCAGCAGTGAGGAAGCAGTTCTCTGATGGAAGACCCAAGTGGGGTGAAAGGTGGTCTGTCACAGCTGGCTGGCATTTTGTGTAGCTGTGGTGGCCATTTTGGTAGAGACTGCTTATGTTTGTGGCTGCCATTTTGCTGGCTCCTCTGTTGGTACCATTTTGGGTAGAACCTTCTCCTATGTGGTCTGGCCTGTCTTTTTCTAATGGGTGGGCATTTTGGTGGGGACTGCACGAGGGCCATGTTTGTGTAGTCATATGACATGAGCCCTCTAGTACAGGACCTGTGGGTGGTGTCTCCCTTCGGATCCAGAACATTTGGAGTAATCCTCCCACGTGGCCTTCCCCTTCTGTAGTGTTGCCACAGCTCACAGCACTGTTTCCCAGGCGGCCTCCGTTCCGAATGGTGGTGAGTTTTCCTGGGGTCCCCCTACTTTTATTGCAGCTTGATGGTTTTTTTATTTTTTTTGCTTCCTCTCCGTGGGTGTGGTTTGGTTTGTTGGTTCCCAGCAGTGGGGCTGTGCTTATACATTGAGTTTCAGAAGAGCGCTTCTCCTCCAGTAGGCCCCCTCATGGATAGGCTATCTGGAAGACCTTTTTCCTGCAAGTGGAGTCTCATTCTGTGGAGACAGTGTGGTGATCACTATGCACACTCTGCAGGAGTTTGGGTGAAGTTCGCTCAGACCCTGACCAAGTGTTAGGAATATCTGGGTCTGATTCTCGACTTGGCATGGGCCAAGGCATTCCTCCCGCTAGACACTATTCGGAAACTCCAGACTGCGGCTTGGTTGCCTTGTGTTTTTAGACAACCAGATCCCTTGACGATAATTGTCCAGGACCTCCCTCCTCTGGTGGCTCCAGTCTCCATCTCTTCCGGCCAAGAAGTCGTTTCTCCTTCTCTACTGGATAGTGGTCATGATGGATGCCGGTCTTTCTGGCCAGGGGGAAGTTCTGTTTCCAATATTTGGCTCAGGGAAATTGGACACCAGATAAGTCTTGACTATCTATCAATATCCTGGAGTGACAGGCAATCAGACTTTGTATAACTCATTGGACAGAAATTCTTCGTGGACAATGCTAATGCATAGAAAACAGGCAGGCAGACTACTTTAGCCTTCAGAATCTGGATCAAGGAGGGTCTCTGTACCTGTACACACAGATGGAATTTCCTCCTTCAACTCTGGCAGAAATTTCCAAAGTAATTATAGGCTAGAAATTGATTACTTGGCTGTTGGGAGGGGGGAGGACATTTCTGTAGGTAGCTATAGGGGAACTGCAGTGCTCAGATTAAATTTTAAACCTAGCCTCTCACGGGGAGGGGACTGCTTGAAAACACACACACACACACACCACACTCCTCTCTCTCTCTCTCTCTCTCTCTCTCTCCTTTTTATCTCAAGAACATAAATTTAAAATGTCAAAAAGAATAATTAAGTATATCTTACCAGAAAAGGTATTTCTGTAAGTTTACAGAATATCAAATAGTCTAATTTTAACAGCTGGTTATAGATACCCCCCTGGCAGCTTCCTCTGCAGGGAAGGTCTTCTGTCCCAAGGAATGATCTTCCACCCTGCTTTTACTGTCTCTGGCTTTGACAACCTGGTTCTTGAATGCCAGGTTCTGAGGGACAGAACAAAAGCAATAGCGCTGTAAAAAAGAGTATATCTGAGGGACAGAATGTTGTCAGGCTCTGTTATTCCTACCATGTTGAAGGCGTGTAAATCGACCTCTCGGAAGATATACCATCGTACTTGGAAGGCTTGCATTTCATAGTGCAAGACTGCGGATTGTCACACACATAACTTCTCAGTGTCTTGGCTTTTGGCCTTTCTCCAATGGGTTTTTGATCAGAAACTTGCCTTGAATACCATAAAGCAGGGGTCCTCAAACTTTTTAAACAGGGGGCCAGTTCACGGACCTTCACACTGTTGGGGGGCCGGACTATAGTTTAAAAAAAAAAATATGAACAAATTCCTATGCACACCGCACATATCTTATTTGTAGTGCAAAAAAAAAAAAAAAAAAATACATTATTTAAAATGCACTATACACTAACGCACTGGACACCACAATGCACTATACACTAACGCACTGGACACCCCAATGCACTGTACTCTGTAACACACTGGACACCACAATGCACTGTACACTAATGCACTGGACACCACAATGCATTGTACACTGTAATGCACTGGACACTGCAATGCACTGTACACTGTAACGCACTGGACACCGCAATGTACTGTACTCTGTAATGCACTGCACACCACAATGCACTGTAACACACTTGGCACCACAATGCACTGTAACACACTTGGCACTAATGCACTGGACACCGCGATCCATTGTACACTGGACACCGCAATGCATTGTACACTGTAACGCACTGGTCACCGCAATGCACTGTACTCTGTAACACACTGGACACCGCAATGCACTGTACACTGTAACGCACTGGACACCGCAATGCACTGTACACTGTAACGCACTGGACACCGCAATGCACTGTACACTGTAACGCACTGGACACCGCAATGCACTGTACACTGTAACGCACTGGACACCGCAATGCACTGTACACTGTAACGCACTGGACACCGCAATGCACTGTACACTGTAACGCACTGGACACCGCAATGCACTGTACACTGTAACGCACTGGACACCGCAATGCACTGTACACTGTAACGCACTGGACACCGCAATGCACTGTACACTGTAACGCACTGGACACCGCAATGCACTGTACTCTGTAACGCACTGAATAACACAATGCACTGTACTCTGTAACACACTTGGCACTGCAATGCACTGTAACACACACTTGGCACTGCAATGCAATGTAACACACTTGGCACTAGTGCACTGGATACCACAATGCATTGTACACTGTAACGCACTGGACTTCGCAGTACACTGTAATGCACTGGACAACACAATGCACTGTACTGTTACGCACTTGGCAATGCAATGTAACGCACTGGACACCACAATGCATTGTACACTGTAACACACTGGACTCCACAATGCACTGGACACTGCAATGCACAGTACACTAACACACTGGACACCGCAATGCACCATACACTGTAACACACTGGACAACACAATGCACTGTACTCTGTAACGCACTTGGCACGGTAATGAACTGTAATGCATTTGGCACCGCAATGCACTATACTCTGTAACGCACTGAACACCGCAATGCACTGTACACTGTAATGCACAGGAAAACGCAATGCACTGTACTCTGTAATGCACACTGGACACCACAATGCTTTGTACACTGTAAAGCACTGGACACCTCAAAGCAGTGTACATTGTAACGCACAGGACACTGTAATGCAGTGTACACTATGGCACTGGACACTGCACTGAACAACACAAAGCACTGTACACTGTAACGCATTGGACACCACAATGCACTGGACACCGCAATGCACTGTACTCTGTAACGCACTGGACACCGCAATGCATTGTATCTGGTGTACTCTCCTCCTCTCCTGTTGCTCCTCTGGCTGCAGCAGGTAAAATCAGGCATTTCCAGGCTGCTGCTCGCTGGGTCCTCGCGGCTGAGGACCCAGTGAGCAGCCTTGCTATTTGCCGGTCTGTGTTTTTTTTTTTTTTTTTTTTTTTTTTTTGGCTGGCCCTGTGGGCCGTAGTTCGAGAACCCCTGCCATAAAGGACCAGGTTTCTGCCTTTTATGATGTTCTTACAATGTCCTCTGGTCTCCTTGATTTTTTTTTTTTCTTCTTTAGGAGGATTCAGTGCACTCTTTGCTGCCGTAGGACCTGAACCTTGTTCTATTGATGCTTCAGAAATATTCGGGATCTTCCCTTGTTAACTCTCTCCCAGAAGGTCACCTTTTTATAGTTGCTATCACATATCTGAGCTGGCTGCCTTGTCCTGCAAGTCTTCATATTTGGCTTTACACAGGGACAAGGTGGTTCTACGTCTGTGCCCCTCCTTCCTTCCGAAGGTGGTGCCCGATTTTTCACCTCAATGAGGATATTGTTCTTCCTTCCCTGTGTCCACACCCCTCTCATCCTAAGGAGGTTGCAGTGCACTCCTTGGATGTGGTTCAGGTGATTCGTGCTTATATATCTGCTACGGCATCCTTTCGAAGGACAGCCCACAAAAAGGCTTGGTGGCCTCTTCGATGGATCAGGCAGACTGTTGTACAGGCTTATGCCATTAAGGCTCAGGCTTCTCCCTTCCCCATCACGGCACACTCCACCAGGGTGATTAGTACTTCTGGGCATTTTGATATCAGGCGTCTGTGTCTTTATTAAAGCAGTTATAAACTCATTTAAAAAAGATAAAAAAAGTTTCCTGCTGCAAGGTAATATCATAATGTGCTATTATGCACCACATTCTAGCACATTATGAAAGAATTACCTTAGAACAAAGCCCTCCAGCGGCAGGCTGTCACTGCTGCAGAAGGCTTCCATCTTCACCCAGTCCTTCTTCCAGGTTCATGGGCTGCAGCCGCTTGATTGGCCAAGCCCCCGATAACAGTACTCCTGTGCATTTGTGTTTCTGTCACGGCACACAGCTCTGACAGAACGGCTTGGGTATGTCGTTCCTTCAGAATGCATACTCTAGTGATGTTACCGGCTGATGCTCTGTAGAATATCTCCTAAACGGTCATTTTACCTACAGGTGATTTTATTAGAAGCTTACCTGTAGGTAAAAATAGAAAACAAGAGTTTACTACAACTTTAAGTTTTTTACAAAAATGATATTTGGGCATCTTTGGAAGCATGTTTTGCAGGTGGCTGTTTCTTACCCCTCTTCTGGGGGTTTCTTGGCTGGCTATTGTATGTTCTTTCTCTGTTTACCCACCACTCATTGAAACACTGCTTTAGGGCAACCCTACAGTCAAGGCTATGGAAGAGCTGTGTCCTTCAATGAATGTCAGGTTTTTATTTAAGACTGGAGACTCGCCCTCTCTGTCACGTTCTGTGACAGAGGTCACAGAAAGTGAACATGAATCCCAAATTTTCAGTGGTCATCAGAACAGGACTAGAGGAGAAATCCTCCAATGGAAACACTAATTCTGCTAACCCTGGTGACTACCAGGGATTTCCCTAATTTTGTAAGGAATTCCTCTAACTTCCTTTTTGGACAGGAAGTGAAGGGAAAGATTACCCAGTGAGACACAGGGATTTTAATCCTTCCTTATTCAATCCAAAAAGAAAAAAAAAAAAAAAAAAAAAGTGTCCTTACCTTAAAAATTGTTGTTGAACCCCCCCAGAGGGGTGCATGTGGTACTTGTTTCTTTTATGATCTGTGCTGTGGTTATGCACTAAAGAATATCAATATTTCTGTTTCTGTAGGCTATAGCTCTAACACCAATGTATCGGCATTGCCATGGGGCGTTGCATCCAGCACTAAAGCCCCTGCCCCCCTCTTATATGCGCTGTGTTTTTCTATTCTGAGTAATGCCTTTTAGAAGATCCCCGCTTACTAAAAAAGCATTCCTTGTCTGCTGTGGGCTACTGTACTCTACTCTTCGGTTTATGTAGTAACAGGGCATCTATTAGAGTCTGTGGTAGATGGTTCTTGGATACACTGCAACTAATCCCCTCTTGGCTGCACCCTGCACACATTCCTTTAGTGCCCAGATAGCTGTTATAGCCATATCCCTGTACATGTGCATCTAGCCCCCTCCCCACAGTATCTGTCCTGTCCTCCAGGAGTTGTCTTTCCTCAGTACTCTATAGTGATCAGTAAGAGGCAATGTTAAGGAGATAAAATACACCAGTCATGTCCTACACTGACTAATCTTTCTGCCCAATGTATAATCAGTGTGCGGTGGGCTGAGTCTTCGTTCCCATCCATGCTGCCAATCTTCTTTCCTGTCCACCCTCCACTCTCCCTGGCATCAGCCTGGGTTGTGAAGAGTAGTCTCTCTCCAGTGGGGTCAGGAGAGACCAGGCAGTGGGAGCCTGAGCTAGCCTTTAGCTTGGCCAGGCCCTGCTCTCCAGAGTGCCCCTGTTGGCAGATGGGGCACTGTCAATCAAACCTAATTATGTATTTGTCTCCTTGTTAGCAGTGGGGTCGAACAGCAGTGGTGTGGGGATGGGAGAGGGCAAGTTGGCTGACCTTGCAGCTCAACAACCACTGGAAAGATCAAATCAGGACCAAGTGCTACATGCACTTCTTCCCTGGAGGATTCAAAAATGGTTACGTTGAAGTGATACTTCTTCTTTAACACCATTTTACAAAATGTAAATGTTTATTTCTCCTAATAGAAAAGAAGTTGCGGACTTTGAACAGCAAAAAGCCAAGGAGTTAGCCAGGATTGAAGAGTATAAAAAGGAAGAAATGAAAAAACTCCAGAAAGAGCGGAAAGTGTTTGAAAAATATGCCAGTGTAGCACGGGCGATGCCTGACAAGAAGGAACGAGAGGAGATCCAGGTGAGAGCCATAGGCTGGCTGTCCAGGTATTGCAATCTAAGGAGGAGATGTTGGGGCCCTTTTGTTACTATTGGCATGTAAAATTGCAGTTACTGTGTTTTGTTACTTGTTTCAGAAAATGTAAAATTGCAGTTGCCGTATCTTTTCTCAAATGCACATGATTCGCAACCGTTGCATAAATAAAATCTATGCTTCACCTCCAAGTGATTGGACACTGGCAAACAAAAGTGTGACAATACCCAGCATAACTCCACTACCAGCCTTGCCTCAGTTTTGTTTTCTAGTAATGGACCTGTGTCTTTCTGCTGAGAGTGTCTCTTATGCTTTGATGGGCATATTGCTGTTTGAACTGACTTTTTCTGCTAAGCCTCTAGCTCTGTTACATGTCTGCAAGTGCCCCTTTTGTGGGGGGTCCCCTATACTTCCTCTTCACCTTCAAGCGGCTTGTGCGACTCAAGGCATGGGTTGCAGTTCCCCACTGTGCCTGCAGAAGCTGCAAGGCCCTGCTGGTTCAGCACCGCTAGAAGGCACTGTGGGTATACTTGTTGTGCAGGAACTGGTGCCTCATGGCCTAGCGACACTTCATCACAGTCACAGCCTGACTCCAGGGGTGCTTTTGCTTAGCCACAGCTAGGAGACTCTGGGGAAAAAAAAATTCAAAAATTGCAACAAATTATAAAACATGTAAAAAATTAATTTAAAAAATGTAAACTAAATCGAAAAAATAAAGGGCTCATTCACATGGGTTCTCTTGCACATACAATAAGAATAAGTTGCTGCCTGTTACTCTATGGTGACACAGTGGGTGTATTGGCACAGCAGCAGGTCCTAATTTGACATGTGTGCGGGTGAGTGAATGTACATGGTCTGTGTTTGGGGCCACACATATGCATCCACACACCTTTCATATTAGGAATGCAGCTGTGTTCATACAGTTGCTGTGTCCTCATAGTGTAACATAGGCTCCCTGCACACAGCTCCAGCCAGAAAAAAAAAAATCTCGTTCACACTGTACAGGCCACATCTCATAATGATTTTATTGTATTTTTATGTGAAAAGTAAATCATAACATAGGAAAAAGTGAGAGCCCGCAGAACAAAAAAGCAGCTAAGTGCAATATGAGTTTAAAAAATGTGCATAAAACACAGGTAAACACAAGTGTTTCCATATACATTTTTTCCCCCCTTCATTTCACTAGCTGCCTAATATATCTCACCCACTTTCAGATACCATTGTACCATGATATGGACCTGTGACACTTTTGAGAAGAGCAGAATCTGTAGTAAGTGAAAAGCCGTAAACAGGAAGATCTTTTGTATGTACAACATACATATAGTTTCTCATATGACTCCTAATCATCACTTAGAACCATTAATGAATACAAAAGTTTCTTATGGGTAGCATCTGCTTTTAGTTGCCATCAGTTTTTTTATTGAAAAATTTTCAAACAATTACAAACAATAGCAAGTTTACATATAAAGGTGTGAGTTGTAATCATTGGTTTAATAGTATAAACCTCCTAATGAAGATTCATATCCAGAAATAAAGAACAAGAGAAAAACATGTTTTAATATAGTTCACAGGGATCTCATCAGGAAAACCCAGAGCACCCAGCTCCGCTTTGAAATTTTTGATGGGAGATCTTCTCATTGGAAACACGGAGATGTATAAAAAGCCAGTGAGAGGTTCATACAATATTGGTTTGTTACAAAACATTGAAATTTTGTGATACAGGCTAAGATATTGTTACATCCATAGTCGGTATAGAGTGCGACTGACTCTTTTCTTTACTGGTGACATATAATAATTACTTAGCCTTTTTATTTTCAGAGTCCACTTCATGTATTAAAGCAGAGGCTTACGCCTGTTCCTGAGTCAGAAAAGAACACAAAAGTCATCAGAAGTCAGTCTCCAATTAAAGGTAGGTCTGTCTGATTGTTATCCAAATCCATATGTGCATGAAAACTGATGGGAAAAATGTGCAAATTTCACTTGCAGAGACACGAGTTTACATCAGTTTTCATGCATGTTTCGGTTTTATACACATTGCAGATTCCTGTGCACTAGTGTTGTGCTGTAAACAGGGCACATAGAGAACAATTGTTTTTTATGTGCCCTTACAGAACGTGCCGAAAAACCGACGTCTCAGCACCACGGTGTGGCCTAAAGATCAAGTCTTACCAAAAAACTGCCCTTGCAGTGCACACCCGTCCCCCCGTCCCCCCTCCACTGCAAGGACTAAAATCTCCTTCATTTTAGCGGATGAGGTATAAGGAGTAATACTTGCCTTGAGATGAGTACACACTATAAGAAAATCTGAATAAACTTTTGTACGAGGAACAATCGTTCAATCATCTGATCGTTAGTATAGTGCTTTCAACAGCTGGTTCTGACTGTTTGGACAAAAAAAAGGAAGGTGCAAAGGAAGGTAGAAAATTTTTATCGTACATGAACATAATTGGCAATAAATATAGAAATCGTACACAAGAAAGAATGTTTGCCTTTGTCGTTCGAGACTTTTTGTACAAGTTAACACCATTGTCAGTTACATCATGATAGGCACTTTTGTGGAAAATCGGACGATCATTCGTCAAATTTTCTCATAGTGTGTACCCCACTTTATGCCTCGCTGTGGAGCTCAGGTTGTGTGCGGTTTCTCAACATCTTCATGTGCAATGCAGAGATATTGGCCCTGTGTTGTACTTTAGAAGATGTCATTCTGCAACTGCTGGCTGCAGTGTCCTAGAGAAGAGGCTTCAAGAGAACCTTCCAGAGCAAGAAATAAGCTAAGTATTACCCCTTATTCCTCTTCCCCTAGCGTTAGAGCATTTAGCCATTGCAGTATGGGAGGGTTCCACTGCACGGGTAGTCACTTTGTAATCTCTAGCATTGGGATTAAATGATATAGTACATACTTGACAGGTCAATAATGTATGAGCTGCAGTTTGAATTACCAGTTAAAGTGATATTAAACTCTGGTTTTTAAACAATATGTACAGTTATACATTCGTAGCCTCCCTGGCGGTATTCCCGGGTGTAGCTCGGGTTAAAGTTTCAGTACCAAAAGCGGTAACCCCGAGCTACACTCGGGCTTACCATGCGGCGCTGCTCTGGGATCTGTTCTTCTCTTACCTTGTCCTGCGCTCCCGCGATGTCCCTCCTGCAGTGTCCTCCGGCGGATGCCGGCATCTGCCTTCTGGGTTCCGTCCCCTGCGAGCGTCAGGACATATGGGGACGTATCGGCGGGAAATTTTAAAATGACAAAAAGTGACATTCACTAAATTCACTAAAATAACATAGTAAAACATTACTGTATCAAACCATTTCACATACATTTTGTCCCAAATGCTTTGTCCTGTGCCCTGCCTACATTTTTACTGTTCTTTCTGCCTGGAAAACGTCCATGGCATCCAAAAAGCGTCCCTTTAGGTCAAAATCTGTTTTAGACCAGCTAGAGAACAGTGATAGTAAATTAGAACCACTTGCAGAATTGAGTGATGATTCGTGGGGAAATTCGTCATCAGACACTGAAAACGATTTTGCGACTTTGCTCAGTGATGTGCGAACTTGGCGCTATATTTTAAATTTCAGTGTTTTTGGTTTGATTATATTATTGAATTTAATTTATTATTATATTATTATTTTTTTTATGATTATTTATTAAATTATAATTTATGATTTCGTGTTTCAAATTTTAACATACCCGGGATCTTTACTAGACTCTTGTTCGGACAGATTTCAGTGAGTTATTCCTAAAAATTACAGGCCTTCAATAAAAAAAATACATATTTCCATGCAAAAAAATGTACTGCTTTGAGCACAGAAATATGGACATAATCAGACCGTTAGGGAGGTTAAAGAACTCCAGGATAGGCAAATAATTACCCATTAGTACACACAAAATACCAAACCGTTAATAAAATGTCAAAAAATCCTTACCATTTAAGAGAAAAATCGAATAGAATTTTCATGACCTCATCTCTGTAATTCAAAAGATAGCAGCATCTGCTCTGCCAATGAGGTGTAACAGCAGGCATTACATCATATCCTCTCCTCTCTCTCTGCAGTAAAAGGAAACTACAGTTCCCATCAATCACAGGGAATTGTTATGAATGTGGGCAGGGGTACATGGCTTGTACGTGTTGCTTGTGTTTGAGAGTCTGTCTGCCCACCACTGCAAGTGGGGCTGAATTACATCACTGCTTCCTGCAGAAAGAACTACAGAAGGGATGTGCCAATACCAGTGGCTGGGGGAATAGGAGGCATAGCAGTGAAGTTTGAAAATCAACAACAAGGACATGTAAAATGTTTTTGTCCAAAGTTCTTAACGCAAAAAAAATCTTATATTGCGATCACCTCCTATAATCTTTAAATCCCTTTTTTCTGTTTTTTTTTTTGCTGCTGTGAGCTGACTTCCCGTTTAGTGGGTAGCTGCTCTTGTTTTCCATGGTCTCACTGTATGTAAGAACATAGCCTCTCTTGCTTATTGCCATGTTACCAAGACTAGGAACTATGGGTTATGTAGTGTGCATAGAGCAGTGCACATGACTACAAGTCATGTGCATTGCTTTTTTCAAACAGAAGTGAGGGGGGAAAGAAGAGGTTTGAAAGCACATTACAAGGAGGCAGATAAACACAGTTATAGATGACAGGGCCATCAAGCAGTGGATGTGTATGGTTTATTTTTGGAAAATAGGAGTATCTTTAGTGTCACTTTAGTAATACACAATACCTTATCAAGGTTTGCTGTGGATTGAGTAACATTGCAAAGACAAATCATGATTATCTTTTTCAATATAGTATAGTGCTTTTTATGAGTTCAGTCTCTTTATATTTTTTTTTTCTCTCGCATTCTGTATGATTACAAGCTGGAGTTCAAATATATTTGGTGATGTCACTAATCTTCATGCAATAGTTAAAAAATTACAGAATTCTCCTTGTATAAGTATTTACCCCCCCCTTACTGTTAAATAATGTTGGCTTCTCACGTCTTATTTAAAGCGGTAGTAAATTCTTGACTGGAACATAAAAGAAATGGCCCCCCTGCATGTTTAAGTCATAATGTACTGGTGTGCACCGCAAACTTAGTACATTATGACAGACTTGCCTACAAATGGGGCCCTCCAATGTAGCGCTGTCAGGGTTCTCCGCAGTCCCCAGCGGCTTCCATCTTCACCCCGTCTTTGTTCTGGGTTTCACATCTTCAGCCACTTGTTTGGACAGGCCAGTGTGACGTCACTCCCACACATGTGCGTGGGAGTCTCATTGCTGCGGCACATAGAACAGGCCGCAAATGTCGTCTGAGCTGCACATGTGTGGCTCATATCACATTACCCGCTGATAGGCAGGGGGGAATTGTATGACAGAAGAGACCTCTAGGGTCTCTTCTGTTATAAAAAGCTTCCCTGTCATTGGATTTTCATAAATTTACTTTACTGCCACTTTAAGATCTTTGTACAGTGGGTCTATTGCAGGGGTGGGCAAACTTTTTGACTTGAGGGCCGCAATGGGTTCATATATTGGACCCGGGGGCCGGACTAGCTGCTGGCCGGCCCAGCCACTACCATGCCATCCATAGTAAGTATAGTAATATTCCCCCATAGTAAGCATAGTAATTATTCCCCCATAGTAATCCCCCCATATAGTAATTCATCCCCCATATAGTAATTCATCCCCCATATAGTAATTCATCCCCCATATAGTAATTCATCCCCCATATTAATGCATCCCCCATATTAATGCATCCCTCATATAGTAGTAGTAAGTAAGTAGCAAGTAGTAAGCCAAGTCCCCCCTGTGTCAATTTACTTACCTTTGCTCCGTGCGTTCTTCTCGCCGTGTTCCCGCGCCGTTCCGGTCTTCAGGGCGGACTGTGAGAGGAGCCTAGCTCCTCTCACGTTCGTCACGCTGCCCCGCCTACACACATCCTGACAGCCAATCACTGGCTATCAAGATGTGAGTGGCAGCGAGACTGGCCAATCATTGCATTTGAGCGCGCTGCCCTGGCTGTTTTTTTTTTTTTTTTTTGGATCATGCTCCGCAGGCCGGATTAAAAGGTCCGCCGGGCCGTATACGGCCCGCGGGCGTAGTTTGCCCGTTGCTGGTCTATTGTGTTGCTCCACCTGGTATCTGATTCTGGTTCAAAAACAGCTCTTCAATCTTATTAGAGACATTCCTCCCTTTATTCAGACGTGGTATTCTTGGTAGCAATCACCTCGGCAAAGGGAGTGTCTCTAAACTAGTTATTTTATACTTCAATGAACCGGAACCCTTTTCTGGATTTGCATAGGGAAAAAACTAAATTTTAGAATGCTGTATCACATAGGAATCTTGAGAAATGCAAAAATACCTTTTAATGACTATAATGTATTTGTAATACATCATAATGTTTCCAACACACTGCATACGTTTACAAGGGCTAAGTGTTTTACTGCTGATTTTCATTTGTACTCCGTGGCCAGCGCATCTCGCTACAGTATCCAACAATAGTCAGACAGCATTGATTGATTTCAGTTGCTCTGATACCATTTTTCCATTGTGACAATGTCCTGGTAAAACCTTTCATGTTCGTCTCTGACTGCACCTAGGTTTTTGGGAAAGAGAGTCTTCAGTGACACGTTGCTCTTGGTATTGTACGATATAAAAAATTTGTCAACCAGTTAAATGTAGTTTGGTGTGCTATAATTGCCAAGAATATTCTCAATGACATCTTTGAATGCTTTCCTGGTGATTTTCTCTGGTCCCATTAACATCTTTGAACTGATTGGTATTAATGATGTATCTGGTCTCCTGCTAAGGCTCCAGGCTCGGATGGTCTACCTCTTGAATTTTATCATTTCTCTGACACTTTAATACCTAAGTTACTCGCTTTATATTGCTCTATTTCTAAGGCAAGGACCCTCCCTGATTCTATGCGTTAAAGCCCCTTATACTTCTTACACAAAGGCCGGGGAAAGACCTGGTTAAGCCGGAATCATATAGACCTATTTCATTGCTACAAACCGATATTAAACTACTGGCTAAGGGTTTGGCTATACAGTATCTTACATAAGTGAGTACACCCCTCACATTTTTGTAAAGATTTCATATCTTTTCATGTGACAACAGTGAAGAAATGACACTTTGCTACAATGTAGAGTAGTGAGTGTACAGCTTGTATAACAGTGTAAATTTGCTGTCCCCTCAAAATAACTCAACACACAACCATTAATGTCTAAAACGCTGGCAACAAGAGTGCGTACACCCCTAAGTGAAAATGTCCAAATTGGGCCCAAAGTGTCAATATTTTGTGTGGCCACCATTATTTTCCAGCACTGCCTTAACCCTCTTGGGTATGGAGTTCACCAGAGCTTCACAGGTTGCCACTGGAGTCTTCTTCCATTCCTCCATGATGACAACACAGATCTGGTGGATGTTAGAGACCTTGCGCTCCTCCACCATCCATTTGAGGATGCCCCACAGATGATCAATAGGGTTTAGGTCTGGAGACATGCTTGGCCAGTCCATCACCTTTACCCTCAGCTTCTTTAACAAGGCAGTGGTCGTCTTGGAGGTGTGTTTGGGGTCGTTATTATGTTGGAATACTGCCCTGCGGCCCAGTCTCCGAAGGGAGGGGATCAGGCTCTGCTTCAGTATGTCACAGTACATGTTGGCTTATATGGTTCCCTCAATGAACTGTAGCTCCCCAGTGCTGGCAGCACTCATGCAGCCCCAGACCATGACACTCCCACCACCATGCGTGACTGCAGGCAAGACACACTTGTCTTTGTATTCCTCACCTGGTTACCGCCACACACGCTTGACACCATCTGAACCAAATAAGTTTATCTTGGTCTCATCAGATCACAGGTCATGGTTCCAGCAATCCATGTCCTTAGTCTGCTTGTCTTCAGCAAACTGTTTACAGGCTTTCTTGTGCATAATCTTTAGAAGAGGCTTCCTTCTGGGATGACAGCCATGCAGACCAGTTTGATGCAGTGTGCTGCGGATGGTCTGAGCACTGACAGGCTGATCCCCCACACTTTCAACCTCTACAGCAATGCTGGCAGCACTCATACGTCTATTTCCCAAAAGACAACCTCTGGATATGATGCTGAGCAGGTGCAGTCAACTTCTTTGGTCGACCATGGCGAGGCCTGTTCTGAGTGGAACCTGTCCTGCTAAACCGCTGTATGGTCTTGGCCACTGTGCTGCAGCTCAGTTTCAGGGTCTTGGCAATCTTCTTATAGCCTAGGCCATCTTTACGTAGAGAGACCATTCTTTTTTTCAAATCTTCGGAGAGTCCTTTGCCATGAGGTGCCATGTTGAACTTCCACTGACTAGTATGAGAGAGTGA